TTTGAAATTTTTATTTCCGACAGTTTCTTTGCCTGCTATCAATATATATCATATAAGAAATAAAATTTGTTTTACAAATAGTAAATTATTTATATTCAATGTTTATATAAATTATAGAAATAAAAGATTATTTAATTTGTTTTAATTAATTAAATTTTTTAATTAAATTTCTATTTCCTGTTATAAAAATCACTATATTATTGGCTTTCAAGGATTTTAGTAAATTATATCTAAATTAAAATCATCTTAATTTTAGAATTATTTCAATTAATAATTTAAATTATAATTTATCATTTAATTAAATTCATAACATTATAAGTTATTTAACCAGTTTTATCTACTTAATTTTATTTGAGATTTAATTGATTATAAATTTAAGTTTATTTATTAATACTTAAGTTTTTAATTAAAACTAATTTATCTTAATTGTCAATCATATAACACAATTAATATATTGAAAAACGTTTATTATCTATTGCATACTTAATATGATAAAAATATTTTAWTAGTAAAAATAATATTGTTTAGTATTTAATGTATAGTAAATTTTATTAATTATTAATAGTAAGTTTATTACTTATATTTATATTATTCTATGAAAGTTTTGTTTTGTACTAAATATAAAACTAAGTAATATTAAGTTCATAAATAGTTGACATTTTAATTATTAATTTATTTTAACAAAGTATTTAAAATGTTTCATAATATGATTATTTACATATATCATGTAATCATGTACTAAATGCTTATTTATTATAATTACTATTTTATTTTTTATTGCAATTAATTTATTACATAAATAAAAAATAAATGTTACATAAAATACTTGTTTAGAGCCAAAAAAACAGCGCAAAATGCAATGACAAACMTATTGTATATTAAATGACTTTATTATATAATTATAAATTTTAATAATATAAAACAATAATTAAAATGATAATAAATGTATGACTTATAATTGTTATTGTGTTATAATGAAATGATAAATTAATATAATGAGTTACTTTTAATGATAAAACATAAGTATGAGACAATTATCACAATTATTTTTAAAAAATAAATATATTTTTCAACATATAGTATTATTTATTATCTAAATGATTGTCTATTTGTAGCTCTTGACTATCGCACATAACCTGAACACTACTGGGCATCGATAGAACTCTGGAGTCCAGCGATGAGTCCCGGGAATGGGTGGGCAATGATATGGTACCGGATCTGCTCTGGTATTCAACGTATTGTTGCGAATAGATATACGAAATCATGGGATCGTCGATAATGTGCGTCGGCTGAGAACGGCGTCTAATAACACTATAGACGGCAATGAATATGCCGGCACATATACATAGAGAACCGGTAGATACAAAACTGGTGCCGTAAACACTTTTGTCTTTTTCTTTATCATTATCTTTATATGACCAATACATTAACAGTCCAAATGTAATCATTATAAATCCTAATATACATAACAATAATGTTAAGTTTATTATTCTAATATTTCGTCTCGAAATCATATTAACTATTTCTTAAAAATGATCCAGTTCAAATTCATAATTTTATATTATACTTATAATTTGCAGTAAAACATTAATATTAACGATTATTTTAAGTTCTTTTTTTGTTTAAAAATATTTTTTATTATACAAAACAAATTTTGATGAAAATAAAATAATTATTCAAAACTAATGCATATTTTAATAGATGATTGACATAAATTTATGTCTAAAAATATATAATAAATCACTATTTGTATTATTTGTATAAAAGTTAATTTTGTCACATATTTTTTTATAAAAACGTTATAACATTTTTATATTGACATTCATTTATATTAAACAATTTATATAATTATCGCTAATATTTACATTAAAGTAATTATGTACTGAATTTCAAGTTCACTAAAACAGAATAAAATAATATGAAATTAATTTTATTTTTGAGGCCAAATAGTTTCCGTTATATCACAACAACAGCACATATATCTATAATATACAGTATGTATAGTATTTTAACTCTTATAGACAAATGTTAATATATTACATAAGAAACTCTCTTATATTGCAATAGAAAATGTTATTTATTTACGTTTTTATTACATGTTGTATTATATGTAATAAGATATTTTCAAAAATGTTTTTTATTTTCAAATATTGTAAAAAACTTTATACATAAGTGTTGCACACAATTATTATAACATGAGGACAAGCATTACACAGTTATATTCTGGACTAATATTATTTTATATTTTAGTCAGTCATAAATTAATATTATACTTTATGTTAGAAATTAAAATTTTTATTGTTTGTGTGAATCATTAATGTAAATTCAAGTGCTGCCTATGATTAGGAAACGGTATGTGATAACTAAATGTAATTAATTGACGATAATTGTTATGCCGACTACTATTACATAAACGAGTTGCACAATGATTACTATTATTACTATAATATATTACTATAATATATTAATCGATTTTATAAAAGTATTTTTTTAAATTTTATATTGATATAATATTTTATTTATTTTAATATTTATTTCTTATAAATTTATTAATATTTTCAAAGATTAGTATTTTTATCTTTATTTTTTTTAATAATTTAAATAATTTTTAACTAATGTAATTTTAATAAAGTTATATATATATATATATATTTTTTCAATGTCACAATGATTATATAATAAAATCAATGATATCAATCAATTAATTATAATTTATTGTTTATGTTTCTTTTTGCTTAATTTCATTTATTAGTGTCATATAATATAAAAAAGTAAATTAACAACGTTATTAAATAATTTATTGAAAATATGCATAAATTCAAATTATAATTATAATAATAATAATTAAATGTAGAATCTAATGATTTCTAAAATTATATATATAATTATTATTTTTCTCCATAGTTTTATTATCCAAAAGTTCCCTATTTTTGCTGCTCCTGGGAATTCTCAGGGAATTTATTTCCTTGTTCTACAACCTATTGAACTCTAAATAACAAATATTATTATAAGATTTGAATAACAAATGAATTAAACTTTATTTTGAGTGTTATTGTTAATAGTATGATATTACTAAATTTATTGAGTTGAAATTGATTTTTAAATATTTAAATAAAATTTTATGAAAAATATTAAATTTTTGGTACTATATATTGTAAAAATATAATATATATTTTCCTTTCTAACGACGAAGGGATGGAAAATTGGGATTTTATTAGGGAACTTCCCTCCCTTTGAAAGTTGCCCGAACCCTACTTAATTATAATAAATTAATTGCAAATTCAATCATTATCACAAATTTAAACAACTTGAATCATTAATAATAATATAATTTTTATATAAAAAATAGATTTAAGAATAATTATTTTTTTTAATTTTGTTTTGCAGTATTATGAAAACTTATATTACACATAATTAAGTTAATAAAAAATAATTATAAACATTACAATGTATAATGATACTTTATGATAGTTTGATAACTTTTTATGAAATGTTTATATTTTGTTTATATGTTTGTGAAATGTAATTTTAAAAGATAATAAAGTTATCCATAAAAAATGAAGTCCTATTCAAACAATAAATTTGACAAAAAAATAAAGTCCGACATTTCATATCATACTAAGTATTCATTTAAAGAAAGATTTAATTATTATTTTTTTGGTGATATATTAGGAACAGTTAAACAATTAGAAATATTTTCGGCAAAGTTTTATGCTTTAATTGCACCGACATTTGGACAGTATGTGTCACATGAGAAACACCCGTTCCGTACATTTGTCAAGTATTTGCTTGTTATCAATGACTTTCTAGTGGCCTCTCGGTTTGTAATACTGGCCTACATTAACGAGCACTGGCTATTTAGCTTACTGGGCGACTCATTTTATGTGTGGGGATCGAGTAGATATGTGTTTTCAATGTTTTTCAGTCTAAGTTTAGCCGTATTTTTAGGTGACATAACTTTGCTTTATTTTGAATTAAAATATAAATTATATTCACTTGAATTTATACATAATTTACGGTTAACGAGCAAACAAAGTGCATTGAGTCCCAAATATTATAAAAAATTTTGCGCTAAACTAAAGTTATTCAACAAAATCTCTTATCCGTCGCTATTTTCCGCAGCCATAATCCCGGTGTCGGTTCATATGATAGCTTCTGCCTATTGTTATAACTATCACTCAGATGTCAATCATTCAATTATTGCTTACATCATATCAAACACAATGCTAGCCATTTGGTTGACACACGCCGTGGCCTACGGTTATGCCGTCTGTTTTTTATTAAACTATGCGGTAATAACTCATTTGAAATACCAATTTTGTCAACTATGCGATGATATGCGACTAACTATTTATTTGAAAAATGAAAACAAAGTCATCAAACTTATTAAAAAACATCAATCAATATGTTTAGACATTGAAAAGATTAACAATTATATGAAATTTGTTGTATTTATCTGTTATTTTTGTTGTACACCCGGTATGGATATTCTGGGGTTTCTATTGTTTGAACGGGAACTTCATTTTATTATAAGGATCGCATGGGTATCGGCCGGACTATTCCTGTTTTCTATACAATTAGGTATAAACCTGATGTGCGCTTCTCTATCATCGACAGCAATCAAATCAAAGAATATTCTCTATTCATACATCAATCAGAAGTGTCTGTCGCAAAGGTCACGGCTAACGATAAGCATATTTATTGAGCAACTATGCGATAATAATACCGGTATCTATTGTTTAGACATATTTATATGTAATCACTACGAGTTTTATCAATATTTATCGTTTGTTTTTTTCACTTATTTTCTAATTAAAGAGTTTATGTCAGTACTTTAAATACTGTTATATCCATTATCACTTAAATGCCTCTAAATTATAGATATTTTGCTAATATAATAATAAAATTTTAAAATTATATACATATAAACGTATCTTTATATATAATATTATCAAATATATTTAAATTACGGTACAATAAAAATCTCACAAATTATTATTATTTTGTATATTTGATTATAATAAAAATCCAAAAACAAACATTTTCACAATCAAATTGTTTTAATAAGACATTTTTAATATAACAATTGAGATAACATTACAATAAGTTTTGCATTACATTACGGGTACATCTTTTTGTGGCCTTTTGGACGGCGGTATGAGATGAGCCGGTAGTTGAATAGGTAAGTCGTGTCCATCCAATTTCATGGCCATCAAATACATGGCCAGTGCAAATTCATCCGAATCCAATAGAGTATCTTTATCGACATCAGCCAATCGGTAAATCTTATTGAGGACACCATTTGGTAGCTTTGACTTAATCATCTGTGATTTCACTTTATAACTGGTAATCTTGTCGTCAATAGGTCCAAGAGTTGCAAACAATTTGTCATATGATTGCCGATCCTTATCGACAATCCATTGTTTATCCTGAGAGCCGGCTTCGATACCTTCGCTTTTATAATAACCAAACGGAGACTTATTTAACAAATCAAACTTTCCGCCGACAATCTTGAAGACATCATCTGATAGATTCATTTGTTCCGCAATTATCATTGACATGAGTTTTGGCACTTCTTTAGTCATCATTTCATTGATTTGTTCAAATAAAGACCATTTGTATGCTCGAAGACGACTGAAATCGAAAGACTTTAGTTTTGCTTTCATTAACTGAAGATCAGGAAAGTCGCCAATTGGTATGTGATATCTATTCCTAATTTCAATGTAAATTGTATTCAACTTTTGGATGAGTTCACGTTGTTTGGTCTTCTTGTTGATGGTAACGATAGGCATAGACCGGTGCAGTTCACACATAAGCAATGCGTGAACTTTGACCAGTTGTGTCCGTTTGATTAGATCATTCAAAATCCTTAACCGACTGTCTTTCGCCAATGACTTAAAATCGTTGAGCAAATCTTGTTCTTCGGTCTCAAAGAGACGTCTATAATAGTCGTGTTGAAGCGGTTGATCCCAAAATGTACCGATATATACGCGAACTGATTCAGGTGTGCGCATTACTTTGGCCAATGACCACATGAGCGCACCGTATACTCGCATCAATTGTGTCGGTTCAACGGTGTCGGCCTTATTAAGAATAATCCGCATTTTGTCGTCGTGTCCGCGCAGAGCCTCAATGGCACTCTTCATTTCATCAGAAATGTCCAGTTTGTTGGCGTCAAACATCAGTACAATGCGATCAACTCTTTCGGCAAACCATTGGAGGACACCCGTAAAGTCATAGCCTCTATCAGTGCGCTGTTTTTCACCGGACAATATGCCGGGTGTGTCAACAAATGTCAAATTCTTAAGTACTGAACAATCAGTTTCAGAGATTTGCAGTCTATTGAGAAACGGATTACCAAACTTTGCCAATTGTCGAAACTGTCGGTTGGCGTCAATGGCCAATGCATTGCCCGGTATTAAACCTTCCACTGTGTTATACATGACAGAAATAAATCTGTCTGTAGTGGGTTCGGGACCTATTCTTATGCCGGGGTATTCGTTCTCCAGAATATATTTAATAAATGTTGTCTTTCCTGTCGAGTACTGGCCAACCATTAAAATGCTGGGTTTGGCCTCAAAATCGGCCGATTCGAGTGGCGGTGAGTGAAACTCATCGAAGTGGTAGTGCTTCTCCAATGGCAACACTTTTGTTTGGTACAGATGTTTGAGACAATCGATAACATTGCCATCATTTCCGTCACACTTCATAGGACTGCTCTTTTGGTTGGATGTCTGATGACTATCCGTTTTCTGTTGTAACCAACCGACCATTTTTGTTGCAGACGGAAGACAACAGTCCATACACAACAACTACAATCACTTCAATGTAAAAGTAACCACAAACTATGTTTATCACTAAATACAGGCCAAGGATGTAATGTAATGCAAAAACTTTAGGCAATGTTTAACATTAAAAACATAATTTTGTAATAACTTTTTAAACGACAGTTTTAAAAGAAAATAATATTTGAAAAAAATTGTTTCTCGCGTTTTAACACTTTTGTTATCTAATCATTTGCCACTCACTTTGATTTTTATTAGATCATTAAATCAATGTTTCATTCATCCAAATATACAAAAAAATCTGTGAACTAATAAACTTTGATTATATGTACATAAAAATGATTTATTTATCTCTTTTTGTGCAAAATTTACTATAAAAAATATTTGTATTCAAAAGGTTAATATAAATATAAGATTAGACAAACTGCTTAAAACTTACAAAATTAATACTATTTATATATAATAAAGCTATCATTCAAATTGCATGCATAAACACTATAATTATTTATTTATACTGTTATCAAATGTATTTAATATCTCAATATATCGAGAATTTAAGCAAAATAAAAATTATTTAAAATTATTTGTTTAATAACTGAAATATTTTTATTTTAGAAGACTATCTGATAAAATGTCCACTTCTGCACCAAAACCAGAGTCCAAAGATATCCCATTTTCGGCTAATGATTGGTCAGAAATAGAGAGACAGGATTCGGTGCGAGTCATACAATTGGGTTCCCGACCGACCATTTCAGTAAATGATATGAGAGTCCATACAAAGTGTTTCAATATAAAGATCAGAATATTCTGTGCATTGCATCGACCTCTGGGTTATGCAAAACTCTATCACTATGTCATTGTAATCGCAATTTTATTCAGTATTATTGTCTTAAATTTGATGGCACCTGAAGTGGAAAAAAAGAATATATTCATAAACAAAGGACCCACTTATGTCAAAGTTATCATTGATTTCATTATTGCTGGTAATTAATAATTATAATTATCTCATTTAAATCTATTAATTATATGAATATATCTATTAGTCATTTTAATAACTGAACAATTTGTGAGATTGTGGTCGTGTGACTGTATTATTAAATACAAGGGTCTAAAAGGAAAGTTATATTATGTGAAAGATTATCGGTTTTCCCGATTAATTGATGTCTCGGGAATCGTAATATTTTTGGTCTACAGTTACAATAAATTATTTATTCAGAGTCTTGGTTTAGACAGTGTATTACGTCTCATACATTTGACACAACTCTTGCAATTGCACCGCATTTTATATCGTGTACTGAAGTTAATGATTGAGACAATTATATCCCAAAGCCAACAGATCTATATAGTGATGATCTTTGGGTGGATAACATTGACGTTCACAGCTTTTTGTATATATTTGATTGAAAGGGGAGTCAATCGCAAAATCGATACCATTTCCGATAGTTTTTGGCTAACATTTGTAACATTTGCCACAATTGGGTTTGTCATCTGTTTTGTCATTAGATAAACGTTTAATAATTATTATAATTGATAGATATGGAGACTTATCTCCGATAACAGTAATGGGAAAATTGGTTATACTTTTGTTGGGATCATTAGGTGTAGTGTTTTTTGCATTGCCGTCCAATATATTTGGTACGGGATTGGCCCTCAAGATTGAGGAAAACAATAATCGTTCGACAGTACTGTCCATTCCAGCCGTTAAACTCCTGCAGTCTATCATCAGATTTCATACGTGTAACAAACGCTACGATACAGACATCAATTGGACTCAATATATGAAATCAAATGGTCAGCCATTGACACCACAAGACAGAGCTTGCATTAGATTTTTGCGATTATTGATGTATTTAAAAGACAAAAACAGTTTTAAAAGAATAATTGGATTACAAGACGACGTCTTAAAGGAACAAAACACTAAAGAGGTGTCCAATCGGTTGATACATCTCGAGAAGTCTATCAATGTTCTCAACTATCAAATCAATCAACAAAAACAAATCGTTACAAATATCGACAAATTATTAATTAAAATAACAACAAAAATTAATTCAGACCAGAAAACAGACAAATAATTTCATTAATTTATATTTTTAGTATTTATTTATATTTTTTAATTTAATAAAAGAATAATTTTAATATATTTTCACATATTATCACTTTAGAAGTTAATTGTAAATACAGTATTACTTAAATAAAACTATTTTCTAACAGTATTACAGTATTATATTAAACTATAATTAAACTAAAATAATGATATTTGTTATTTTGTGCACACATTGGTTGAACAAACAGTTTTTCTAATTACATGTATTTCTGCATTAAATCGTTTCCAATGATTAAACTGATCCATTTCAACACCAATTGCATTGATGAGACTCATCGATACAATTGTACAAACAATTAGTGAGAAAACTAAAACAATTGTTGAATGCATTTCACTTATAGTAATGTTTTGCATTAGAAGATAATGAAAGAATCCAATGAATGAGATATAGTAGAGGAATGTGAAGAACACCATAAATATCATAAGTCTTTGCCATTCATTTGTCTCCATTAGAAATGTTAAATAACTTTTGGGTCGATGTGTGAACTCTATGCCTTCATATTTGGTTTTACATACATTGCAAGTGTCGCGACCACTCGTTTGCATCCATTCCTTCACACACTGGAAGTGGACGTAAGCACCCGTTCCCTTACACGAGCAACAGGTCATCAAATTTGTCAGCTCATCCTCATCGCGACAAATACTACACATAAAATCATTTTTAATTACTTTTGAATCCATTTTCTTTGAATTTACAATATTTTAAATAATTATATTACTATTCTTTTAACTGAAATTTAATAAATTTAAATAATAGTTCAGTATTTTGTCAAATCTCGAGAAATACAGTCAATTATAAAAAAACTATAAAATAAATAAAATATTAATATTTAGTAAATTAAATAATTTATTAAAATTTTAATGAATGTAAAAGTTTTAAGTATAAGTTTTTAATACAATAAATAGTTAGATAACATTTAGTTTATTATTGTTCTGCAATTATCTCTTAATGACATCGATATTGAAATTAGTGTTTTTCCACTGCAAGTAATCTTTGATACCACGAGTAATGATTAAATAGCTATAAATGGATGAATCGATACCAAAGAATAGACCCATTAGTCTTAACAAATCTGATCCCACATTATATCCTATTTCATCAGTTCTGACAAGTGATTGCTCCAAACATATATAAGACATATAGTATTGAATTCCCAAATAAAAACAATGCGAAACTATTGTCATCTTATTTTGATTGATGTACGACAACAGTCCTTTAGGACGTGCTATTAGATGAATACCAGTGTAACGACTCTTACAAACGAGACAATGGATGCGACCGCTCGATAAAATCCACTGTTTAAGACATTTAAAGTGGACATTAGCTGCCGTTCCCCTACAAAAACATACATTTATTARATTGAAAACAGTGTCCTCTTCTCTGCAAATTTTACAAAATAATTCATTTGAAGACATCGTATACAAYGACTTAAATATTTAAATTATTTATAACTGAATGAGACTTTATATCTATAAATACGAATAAAACGTATTTAATTTTACTCTATTTTACGTATTTTAATCTAAAAATAATTTCAAATAATTATGTATTGTTATTGATTTTTGAGATTGCATTTATTCATACATTTACTTATCATTTAATATCAATGTTAACAATAATATCGATATTAATTAAAATAAACTAATATTGAATTTTATACATAAATACGAGTTATTGTGATATTTTCAGTGAAGAATTGCAATCAATTCATATAAAAATGCATTGAATTTGTTTTTCTCTATAACTATCGCTATACCGGTAGATATAATGGTTTAACTCATTGATTACCCGATTGTTATAAGTAATAATAACATTGCGACAAAAACGATTCAGATATACTGTATATATGAAATAATAATAAATTTTATTTAATTCATTCATAATCTATTAAAAAACCAGTTAAAAATGCTAGAAAGCATTATCTAAAACAAATTTTTATTGCGTAAATGACTTGTTATTATAATATTATAAACTAAATATTTATTCATGATAACCATTAATCCATCTGAGTCACATGACTAAACTATTAAGTGACAATGTTTATAACAAAGTATTTATATTTAAACTATATTTTTGGTGATGCAATACTTCTGATGATTTATGGATATTTATTTACAATTTTATAATAAAATAATTTATAGTTAAAACTTAATAGTATGTTAAACTAAATAGTTAACTGCATTTAGATGTTTAACTTAAATTTTGTTAACTAATACTCATTTTATAAATTTTATCCGTCATTTTCTCTGTTCCTGAAAAAATATCAAAATTTTAATTCTCATTCTTATACCTTACTTTTGATGCTTTATTCAAATCTAAACTTTAAAATTTTTAACTAAATTTTTTTATACTTTGGCCGCCATTTTCTCTATGTTCCCGAAGAGTTATCAAAATTTTAATGCTGATCCCCTATACCTTATTTTCGATTATCTAACCAAATCTGAAATCAGAATTTCAAAATTCGAAGTTTGAAAACCAACACACCACACACACACACATATAGAATCCATAAAACAAATTTGAAAAATTTGTTTGAAAATATAGTTAACTTGAATATCGCTAGAAATATTTTAGCACTGTATACTTAGTTTAACACATGGTTAACAAGATTTTCAATTATAATAAAGAGGGTATTGGGTGGGGTATAAACATTATAATAATTTTTCAAAAAATTTCAAATTTTATGTAGGTCAAGTGAAATTTCCCTATAAATTCCCAAATATTATAGTATTATAAGAATAAATTTTCAAGAAAACACATACATATTTAATAATCATAAATTATTTAAAAATTTTACTTTATTTTTATTAAAAAATCATAGAAATAAATTGTATACTAATGTTTAATTAATGCTTATTTTGAAAATATGTATTGTAATCATATAAAATATTTTCATTTAAATATTAATTKTACATTAAAAAATTTAAGTTTAAGTTTGAATTTAAGAATTTAGTTAAAATAAATTAATAGCAAATAGTAATAATAGAGATATATTTAAGCCCTGAAACCGTTATGTTTATATCCATTAGTAGTACTCGACTGACTATCAAATGATTCGGTCGGACTATAAGGAGAATCGATGCCATTTCCAGCCTTACTATTGTAAGCCATATTGTGATTATTAAATTTGTGATTATCATTAGAGATGAGATGCGATTGTTGGACATCATTGGGATGTAATTTGGACACAGACTGAGCTCCAGATTTATTGTCTTTAGACTTAACATTTTCTTCTGCTTTCAAATCCTTTTTAATATTTTTCGTTTGATTAGACGATTCATGTGCTGACAGCTCTCTAGTGTAAGCCGTGAATTGAAAGTATAGATTGCAAAGAGTAAGCAATATATAAAATATAGCCCGAGTTAAGTCAGTCTTGTAATATTCATTTGAGCCTTAAATTGTTAATAATATATATATATATATATATATATATATATAATACACTTATTATTTAATAAGATTTACATTGAAATTATATCTAATAATACATACGAATTGAGTAAAAGATAACGAGAGCTATCCATACGATAAGGAAAACAATGGTAACATAATTATAGTGATTAATCAAATTAAATATTGCCAACCAAAACACAACAATTGTGATAAACTGGACAATTGCTGTCACAATATTCATTGCAAAAGTCACGTAATCGCTTCCAATGCGATCATTGACTGACCAGTCGATGATCTGAAACAAAGCAACGCCCAGAATRGCTGAACTCGTCATCAAAACCAATGTACGACTCTTTGGGATATCGATTGCCATGTCTTTTGTGGTCAAATAGTTTCAATTATAGGTAAATATTAATTTTTATAATCTAACAAAAATGCAGATAAAGATAAATTAAATTTTTAAATAAACAAAGAATTGAATATTTTAAATATATTTTCACGCGAGACAACAGTCTATTAATTTGAACTATAAATCAATTACAAAATAATTAATTCATTTAAATTTTGTTTTTATACAAATGAGTTATAAATATGAAGTCGTGTCCATTCATATGTGTTTCATTCATGATTTTTATTGTCATCATTACCACAAAAGTTAAGGCATTAGAATTTTGTGATGCATTTAATGATAACAGACAACAAATCAGTTATGGTTTTAGTCACCAAAAGACCCGTTATTTATCAGATTTATATCTATTTATAAATCAAAAGTATTGGTTACTTGAGTTTATTGACAACAATTTAAATGTATATAAAAAGCTGATTATTTATAAAATGGTTAGTCATGAGAGCAAATGGTTAGGTAATGATTATGAGATGGCTTTTAATGTTAAAGACGATGAGGGCGGGTATGTAACCGGTCTGTTGGCTAAAAAAGAAGACTTCATTTATTGGATCAAATTTGATGGCAGCAATGACTTGAGTAACGCTGAAGGAAGGGGTGGCACTGATATAGCATTTAATGGTTACCGTCCTGTTATAGCTTATCTACCGGTTCCTAGAGATGAGAATCTATCGTCAACTATAGTCTGTTTGATTTATCGCACTAACCAAACATCTTCTGGTTTAGGTATTTATTACTATAGGTTTCACTCAAGTCTGTACTCAAGTCTTGATTGGAATCCACAAGATGTTACCAAATGGGTGACGGGATCACAGATTGAGACCAAATATTGGTTGGAAACTCATGTCTCCAAAGTATTGCGATCACTACAACAAACAGCTTTAGATCAATTGAAAAGTCAATTCAAAGTGATTGCCATTTTTGGACAGTTCAGTCAATTGGATTTTAATAATGATGACAACAATGGCTACGGATTTATAATATTATTTTCAGACAAATATCAAATCAAATATTGTTATACTCATGAAAAAGATTTAAGCTATGATTGTTATGACTATAGACTCCGAGTATTGATTGATTGCAATCCTGATGTAAACCATAACGATACCAATGAATCTGATTATTATCGCCAAACAAATGTTATCTACATAAACATTGTCAACAATTTAATCAATTATATAAAATCAAACAAACTTTTTATTATCGTATCAATACTAATAGTTTGTTGTCTTACAATTATTACATTATATTTTATAAGAAATTATTACTAATATTTAAATAAAAATATTTGATATAATTTTTTTTGAAGTTATATAGAAAAGTAGACTGCTTTAAATAATAACTAAATAATAGCTAAATTTAGTAAATTAGGCTCATTTATCATCATCTGTAATATCAGTGTTTGTTTTAAGCTTTAGTTTCATATTCAACTGGTCCTCCAATTGTATGGGAGAATAGGGATATTGAGTGCTTCCGAAAGGACAATCAGTGCCCACTGTTTGGGACATCACTCGTTTGAATTGATTGTCAGAACTTCCTATTGAAAATTGTTTACGACTGTCTTTAATTAAATAAATGGTTATTTATATTTTTAAATCTGTATTTAAATATTTATAAAAAATAATGACTTACTTATTGGTGATTTTGGAGACTTCATAAAACCTATGGTATTGTTGATTGTCTTATTAGATTCAGTATTGTCTTTGAAAGCTTGCTCTGAATGCGCTATTTGTTTGCTTTTGTGTCGACAACAGAGATAAATAATAATGATTACAATTATCATTATTATTAATACACCAGTAATTGAAACCACAATATAGATTGCATACGATTTCATTTCAATTATAAAAGTGTTTTATATATATATTTGTTATACACTTATACTGTAGTCAACTATTTTTTATTCATTAAATATCTGCAAATTCTATGCACATTTGAATTATATAAGTGCATGAAATTAATAATTTAATTTAATAAATACATATGCAATTAACTTTCCTTATATTGAATAGTGTCTTGATTTTTAATATAGTAGTAATTATAATTTACAAAATATAAATAATTTGGAAAAATTTGTATTAACTATAAATTACTTTTTGATTATTTGTAATAATTTAATAACTAATTATAAAGTTTATATATAACGATAACATATGTCAGGTATTATTGGTGACAACCACATTAATAAGTTAATAAAATAGTATTATTGGACAGTTAGACAATAAATGATAGCAATAGTATGACAAATGCTATAAATAACATGTTTTGTGGACTCATGTATTTGCTTACAATAATACACACCAATTGACTGATAGAAAGTGCAATATTGAGGCCACTGGTCATAAAATCGGCCGTTTGTTGATTTATTTCAATACTACATATAATTATAATAAAAATTGTTTTTGTATTTCTAATTTTTAATTTTAATTTTTAGTAGAATAAAATAATTTAATTAAACTTAAACTTATAAACTTAAGAAATTATATTTATTTTAAAAGTAATATTTATTAAATCGTTGGAAAACTACTGTAAATTGTTATAACTTTATAATATTTATATACATTTGATTAGTGTATTGACTAGTGTTAACTGAAACAAAGTGTGTATAATACAAAGCGTATAATACAATGTAAATTACATGACAATTTAGGTTTACAAAAAAAATTTAGCGCCACCTAATTACAAAAATACTAAGATTCTCAAACAAACACATGTTTTGTAATAATAATTATTTTTTTATTTTTAAAAAATTAGAAATTAGCTATTTAATTTAATTCTGGTATTGAAATATATTAATAAAATAATTAATATTAATTTTTAATAGTTTTAGAAAACAACGATTCTAATAACGATATTGAAATTATTTAATAATAATAATAATTTTAATAAAAAAATAAATATTTTATCATTTTAATTGTAATTTTTCTATAATTGTAAAATAGATCTAGTACATTGTATTTTACAAAACCAAAATTGAAAACCTTGTATTTTTCCAACCATAGTATTGACAATATAATTGTTTTTCTAATTAAAACAATTGATTCAATTTGTCTGAACTCTTCCTATAATTAGTTTCAAATGTAATCCTTGTGTTTGTTATCAGTTGTCATTGGATACCAAATATTTATATTATTGAATGACTCAATCATTTAATTCAATCAATTTATTTCGTTATTGAAAAACACATGTATTTTTGATAATATTTTTCTAACAACTAATGACTAAATCAAGTTTTACTTCTTGGGAACCGATCGGGTGATCCATTAGTGACTGACAATGAATACAACTCGTGTACTCAAAGTATACGATCAGTTGGAAGTGATGTTCAAAGATAGAGTCCGTCGAATCAAACCTACTTTTATTCGTCCTATTGATCGACAAGACTATCACCAAACACTTCCCATCATTTACTTCAAGAATTGGACTTATAGTAAGTTTAATATAAAGAAGATAWACAAAAATGAAGACTATTTTGTTGTGATTGGCGCCACAAGAAGTGCACAAAATGTTGATGAATATGTCGATGAAAATGAGGACACAAATGATGAAAATGAATCCGTTGACAGTCTTAAGGACACAAAGAGTATAATAGTTGAGTCGGACATTGAAATAATTGATTTGATTTCAGACTCCGATAATAATAATGATGACAACATTGATCTCTCTGAAGATATTTTCGTAATTAATGAATCAAACAAAAGATGTCTAAATAATAGTAATAATTCAGAACTTGATATTCAAAACAAAATTGTTATGAATGTGTCATCAGATAAAACAAAGAGTCAGGTATTGGACTCATCTATAGATAATAGCGATGAAAGTCGAGTACATAAAGACGATAGTCTGATGGCATCACAATCTGTGACATCGAATACTTCAGCGAATGATATAAGATTACCGAAGAAAAGATGGCGTATGACTCATATAAATGATAATACGATTAATAAAGTTGTAATAAAACAGTCAATTAATGAAGAGCTGATGGTTTCACCTAAAGTTAATATCTGTCCTTTGAATGACCAGATAATAGTAACTGACATACAATTAGACACTTCAAGTGATAAATCATTTGTAACGCCAAAGAAAAGATGGTTAAGAATTAAGTCTAATAAGGAGTCGTTTAATAGCTATGAAAAGATTGGCGATCAGAGTGTTAGCAATCAATTAAACAATGAATCGATTAAAATAAAGTCAAATGATGTGAAAATTAAAGACAATAATCAACTTTTGGCTAAAGAAAAGTCGACAAACAGTTTAACAAAAACATCAAATGAGTTGAACTTTAAGACGACCACAAAGAGAGAGACATTTTGTCGATTTGGTGATGACTTGACTGAACTATTGTTGTCTTATCTATCATTTGAAGATAAATTCAGATACGAATGTGTTTCTAAACACTGGCAAAGACTTATTTTTATCAAACAAAACAATTTATTATTTGACAAAAGTTTTACATACAGTAAGTTAAAGTGGAAATCATTTGAATCAATATTAAACAAGTGTTCAAATGTTACACGAATTGAGTTTACTTACAATGGATTTTATTTAAACAATTCAATGTTTGATTCAATTATTAGAAAATGTCATCACATAAGACATGTAAATATTGTCTATTATAGTAAACTAAAGCCGACAACATTGAGACGATTTTTTCAAAAATATGGCAAACAATTGAAAACTTGTTTATTTTCATTAGATTTTTCTAAAACTATTTTTAAGCAATTAATAATTGGATTGTTTCAGACATTTTGTACAAATTTACGGTCAATTGACTTATTGAAAATATATGATGAAAAATTAACAAAATCAATAGTTAATAATAACATATTATTTTCTAAGATAACCAAAATTTCTATTCATTACATTAATGAGTCCATAGAAATGCTTGAAAGTTTTGTAGCAAATTATTCACAACAAATTAAATTATTTAATGTTAATATTGAAAGAAAATGTACTAAAAGCTCAATTGATATACTAATGAATAGTT